CTCTCTCTCTCTCTCTCTCTCTCTCTCTCTCTCTCTCTCTCTCTCTCTTTCTCATCGAGGAAACTTCGTCGCGATCCGCTGCGGAAGGCGATCGAGGAAGGACGACGGAGATATCCGGTCCATCTTTGCGATTAAACCCGAAGGTTTAGCCACGAGTATCGAATAGATCCACTCTTGATTTGAGAAAATTTGACATATAATCAGACATGTTACAAATTAATATGTACGATTTTTAATAATGTTTAAAGAAACCGGTCCTTTAAATTTCTCATCGGGAAAAGTGGACCTGCAGGATTCTCACGGCCAGGTTTTCGGTTACTATAAAATGGTATAAAGATGCATCGTGATTTTACGTGAATTTCGCTCGACTACATTCTAATATCACTATCGTAATTCAGCGTAAAAAAAAAGAAGACGCCGGCACGGTTTATGCGAATCGCAGCACGCGCCCTTCGTTAGAGTCGCGAACGGTGTTCGCATGAGATGCAATCGGAATTTCGAGCAACGAGGAAGCGATCATCTTTCGACTTCTGAATGACCACGTTTAACCCTTAAAAGCCTAAAATGATCGTATTAGGTACGTGGTCGTGTAAATTATGCGCATCTTCTTGATTCATACAACGCGAATTGATATTAATATGTATCAAATGCAAGTTTTATAAGAAGAGACGAAATGCGTTACATTACAAAAAATATTAGAGAGTGATGAGTAATAGCACGCGATTCAGATTAACTTATTGCATGAAAAATCATGAGTGTCATTTATGGCTATTTCACGAGAAATGTTAACGTGGCAAGCTCTAGTAGTGGCAAGCTTGCACTAGCATAAACATTTGATCCGTAACTATGACTTATTGAGCTATAATCGTAGCAATCAAAAAGATACTGTGCTTTTATAAATAATTTTTATAGCATTTCAACTGTATTTTCTAAAAATAACACGATTTAAACTACACGGATAGCTATCCAATGTAGCTAAATAATAACAACTTACTAACTCAAAGTTAGTTTCAAACTAAATGACCGCCCGATACGAGCTAATCAGCGTCTGAGGAAGATTCAGGCTGTTAAGGGTTAGACGATTAAGAGACACGACTCACACGACTACCCTGATTACCTGAACAATGAAATCTACACGAACGAAACGGACCTCGCTATCCCGGTCGCTGATCCGACGGCGTGTCTTTGTAATGCCGACGTTTCCGAGCGGATCAATTCTGCACAATTACAATTAAGCGTTAAGATCAAAAACGCTTTCTGTTCCGAAGAACAAAATCTCGGTGGCGACGGAGACGTACTGCCATCCTGCCGTAGTTTCGACGCAGACCTTCGACCCTCCGCGTCGTGTAAACTCTGAGGGAGAGCCGGTGGCATCCGTCATTGGTACTGTTGGTCCTGTTAGTCGAGAGGTTCCCAAACACTCTTAATCAAGCAATCCTTTGAATCTGATATTTTCCTTGCATCTCATTCTTATACAATAATATTGACGAACACGTGGATACGAAACGTGGATCCAATCATTATTAGTCATGCATGTAGAAAATATAAGTCAAGTCTTAAGTCTTCTCCCACGTTTACTCATCCTTGTCACATTTTGAACAAAAAGACTCAAATAATTCAGAAGATTAAAAAAATTCAAGAGCTTTACGCTTTCGAATTATCTTTACATGCCGATTAAAAAATATTTTAATACTTATTTAACATCCGATAATATAAAAAAGTGATTCAATTTTTCTAGAATTAGCTTTTAAAATTTTAATTCATCTGCTCCTTACTTCGGCATTCTTCCGGACATGAATCGCGTCTTTCCAGGATGTCACGACACGCCGTTTGGGAACCTCTACGTTAGTCGAAGCGATCATTATCGTATCACGATAACGCGTGTATATCTAATTCTATCGCTAGTATCTCTTACGATTACTATCGTTACTGCTATTATACGCTTCGTCGAAGTGCCCCGTGTTTTCGGAGATCTTGCGACCTACCTATCGTTTGATGATGATTAAGCCATCGACACTAGATTACGCGCTTTACAATATTACAATATTAATTCGCGTCAAGTTGTTTCCTCTCCCTGTGAACATACGCATAATTATTGTACGCGATTTTAGGAAATGTTCCAAACGAAGAAGCGTTCTGTCTCGCGGCGGAACGTGTTCGAACTCGTCAAGGAAGGCTCGCGTGACGCAGTCGATCTGCCGATCGTGTCGGCGAATGATGCTTGCAGCAGCAGAACTCACGTGTGGGTGTGCGCGCGTGCGTGAACGTACTCGGACTCGAGCGGATCCTGATCGCGACGCTCGACAGGCCAATATTATGTGTGCGGCATGACGAGCTGATTCTCGTGGGGCGGCCGCGCGAATGGCAATTGATTCTGAATGTGAATCTGCAGCTGCTTCTGCTGGGCTTGTAGTTGCGCGAGCGCCGCGGGCGGCGCGAACGCGGGATAGGCCAGAGTGGTGGTCAGGCACTCGTTATGCTCCTCCAGGGAGTTCTGGGCATAGTGCAGCACTAGGTGTTTCAGGCTCTCGTGAATGTTGTACGGCTCGGCGAAACCAAAGCCGCGCTCGGTGGCGTATATTATGCAATGCTGTACCGTGCCGTTGCACCTGTAACATCACAATTCTCGAATAACATATAAGCCGCGATACCATCTCAGCCAACGAAATACGATCTTCAAAATTGGATTACTCAAATTTTCGAGGGAAACCTCGAAAAGAGGATTAACTTTTATTCTAAACTGGGAAATCCCAGCCTTTTTCGTCAAGAAGGCTACATTAAAATCTTTGTAATGACCGAGGGGAGAAGCTTTATTTTTAAAAACCATATACAAACAAAACATCTTTGTTTACGATTTGCGTATTATTTCTGTTATTATTTGTGTTTTAATCTCGAATATCTCTCTTGGTATCTGTAATCGTCTATTATATATAATTCATTCGAGATACACGTCACTTATATCGGAAGATAAAAATACTTACACTATGGAAAGTGCGTACTGGCCCGTTCTCGATCGGCGGACGAGGAAAGTACCGTCAGGCCGGCCCTTTAGAACATGATCGGCATCGGGGCGAGAACCCTGCAAGTAGAGCCACGTTTTCTCGTCGGAATGGACTGCAAAGTCCACCTCCTCCTTGTTCTGCTTCATCCCATTCTTCTTTAACCATCTGTAATGTTTGAAGCGAATGAATTAGATAGAATTTGGATAAATTTTGGACCACGATGTAACACGAGTTATAATCGACACGAGACGACACTAGTTGAAGTACGAAATACATCTCAAATACTGACAATAATATGGATGAAAATTAACGGGGAATACTGACTTGCTGTAACACTGAGGATGATCCAATGTTAGGATCGAAACGTTTGGAATGTAATGTTTAAGATGAAGAAATGAATATAAGCACGAAAATCTTGCGTTGGCTCTTAGAGCTCCTTTTTTGATTTTTGAATTAGATAGTTTTCTTATGTAAAAAAAAAAATTTCCGATCGAGTAAAGCAGAATACATACTGAGAATGGCGCTCCTTTTGTCGCGCGAGCATTCCGATCTCCGACTTCAATCTGTACATTTCTCTCTCGAGGGTTCTGTAGTAGGCAATCTGTTGCTTCAAACTCTCATCCAGCTGTTCTTTGCTATCTTCTAAGGCCTTCAGTCTTCGCTTTAGCAGTTCTGAGTTGTCAGTCAAACTGTAATTGTCAAACGTAATAACATGATTAATGATATCAATTTCATTGTTTCCTATATGTGAAAATAAGATTTCATGAACAATTAACAATCACAATGAAACATTGACAGAAAATTTCAAGTTTACTTTTAAATGTTTCATAGAAATTTGTGTGAAAATGTAAACATGTTTTAAAAAGCACTAAAAACAAGGGCACTCACGTAGAAATCTCATGGGGCTGGGCTTCCTTCTGGAATCTTTCTTGCAGCTTCATCTGTTCCTCGAACATCTTAATGGCCTCCGTGAAGGCTTCTAATGCCTGACGCTTCAACTGTACTTCATAGGCCGTTTTAGTGTACAAATCCGAATAGTGTTGATATTGCCGGATTGTATCGCTTATTTCCCTCTCCAACTCAACAAACTTCTGCACGACCTTTGCCATATCGGTCGTATTTGCGATCTCCTCATCCTGTTTTTCGAAAAACAAGATAATTTGAAGATCAAGGACAAGCATAATAAAATCATTTCGTAGATGCAAAAAGTTCGAGAAACCCGTACCTGTTGTAAACGCGACACCGGGTAGAGCAGCTTAATATCCAACACCGAATTATATTGCGCGAGCGAACAGTTCCTGTAGTAGTCGACGAGCTCGATAACCGAGTGGAAGTTATAAGGATCCGAGAATCCGAATTTCCCGTTTCGGTGGCTGATCTTGATGAGTTTGTTGGTCCCTCCTTTACGCAGCGTCAGAGTAAACTCGCCGCCCTTGGAAGACGCATTGCGGACCAGGAAGGTGCCGTCCGGCGAGTCGATCATCATCTCGTTCACCTCGTCCCTCGTAATGTCACCCCAATACCATTCGGCTTCCTGTAGCGTGCGCGGCCTGGAATTTTTTCCGCTGATAATTACAATTGGTCGTCATTTGTACATGTAATTACAAATAATTATCATAAATCTTAGAAGTTAATTACACAAGAAGAAAAGCAAAACTAAAATGAAGTATTAAAGTTAAATTGAGAGAAAGATCAGAATTAAAGTCCAATGTTGAAACTAGAACCAAGTTTATAACTTAGATTAAAATTTGGATTGAAATCAGAATTAGATTTGAAGATCACCTGTGCATCTGTTGGTCCTTGCCAGTATCTGCACCAGGTGCCGTTCTGTCTACAGCTTCGTCTTCGAGAATCGGGAATGAGTCCAAAACTGGAAACTGTGGTCTCGAAACTTTACGCGGCGGCAATTGCGGAGGACTGGCAAACTCTGGTAGCTTCTCGTTCCAAACGCCGTGCAATAACAGCAATTCCATTATACGTATGTGTGCCTCCGTGTTGTGAACAACTTGGCTGTAAAATTGCGCAGTTGCAAAGTACTAAATTCTTCGTAATCAAAATATTTCGAGTGTTCTATATCGGACAAGTAATCTAATCTATTAGTTAATAATATAGTTGTAAAACCAGTTAATTTCTTTTTCATCATTATGACTGTATTATATCGTTATGTAATGATATTATATCCTGGAATTTACATGGTGCTTTTTACGAGAGAAAACTACATATAACCAAACGCTAACAAATTAGAAAGTTACATTCTTTTAATATAATTAGTCTGCTAGTCGACGAGATGGAAAGCAAGCTATTACTAGCGTCCTCAAATACATCGAATGGTTTTTTGGCAGCCACTAGCGCACTAGTGTGCCGCCAGTAAAAAAAGGGATCGTGTGAACCACGCTCTACTCTCAACTCTTCCCCTGAAAGAATCCACGTGGCACTCACATGATTCGCTCCCAGGGCGGCCTGAGAAATATATGGCAGAGCACTTGCACGAGGATGGTCGGCGGTTCCGTATAGCCCCTTCCGTGCTGCAACTGGCAGATGCGACAGAAGTGCGCCATCAAATGGCACAATGTGCTACGATGATGCTCCGGCAGCTCCGCTACTAATTGATTGAGGCGCGTTGCACACTGCTCGTCGCTTCTCATACCTGTGAAACGAAAATTCGGGCGCTTGCAATCAAACGGTGAATTATGATAATTGTTAAAAAAAAGCGCGATAACCAGTTTAAAAAAGTATTTAATTACAAAATATATACTCACTCGACGCTTCCAGAAACCTGTCGTACCACTGCACCGGAATTACTGGGTCAGGTAATTCACGCAGGAACTTTTTCAGGACACTGGCGATACATTGGGGAGTGTACGGATTTAAATCCGTGTTGCAGACATCTGAAAATATTATACCACTTTGCTCTACGGACAGTCGGCTTTAATCGTCGGTCAAAATCATTGATATTTTTTAATC